AGAGTTTGAACACTTCGCGGACAGGGCGTGGAAAGTGGCGAGTGGCGGACCCCACGCCGTCCCCCACTTCGGCCATATGTTGACCTCATTGAGGGGCGACCGGTGGCGGAGAGTGCGCGCAGTCTTAACGCCCACATTCAGCGGATCCAAACTCAAGACAATGACACCTATTATAGCCGACGCCGTCAACGATATGATCGGTTTCGTCGACAAGAAGGCCGACACCGGCGATGAGTTTGATATATACGGTATGTTTCAGGCGCTGATCAACGACGTGATCGGACGGACGGCTTTCGGTATACAAAGTAACGTTCAAAATGAGGAAAATAGCAAGTTTTTTAAGGCCTGTAAAGACATGTTTAACGTTAAAATCAACAGTTGGGTACTTTTGGCCATTCAATGCTTTCCGCGGTTGGATCCGCTACTCTACCCGTTCAGACGTTTGGCCGCCAAATGCAAGTTTTATTTTTATATAAAGTTTACAATAATAAATGAGTTACTGAATATGTTTTATTATTTGTAAATTATTATTTAAATAAAAATACACATTTTTTAAATTTAAAATTTAAATTCAGTTTATATTGTAAAAGTAGTGTATATTTTTTTAATAATAACAATAATATTTTTAACATAATTTACATGTATTCAGAATGTATGATGTAAATGTTATGATAAAATATTAATGATAACATTAAACAATTTAAATTTTCTTTCACTCATTTATGTTATTTTAATGTTAATATTTTAATGAAATTCAGTGAAAGCAGTAATTTAATCATAAGTGACAAATGAAATACGTGAAAATACATTACAATTAAGGTTTTTTTAATGAGATTAAGATATTATGAAGTGATGAGTAAAATTCATTATAATTTATGCTTTACAATAGAAATCATAATAATATTATGTTGTATTAATAAGTTGTAATAATAATAATAATAACATGCAATTTCACAGACAGTATTGAATGTGAAGTTATATCTCAATATTTTTTATCGTTTGTTCATTGAATGCAATATTAATGTGTAAACGTGTGTTATATTTAAATTTCAATTACGACATGTGAGTTAAACATTAATTAATTTTAAGTTAATTACAAATAATTTTTAAAAACTTTACTTTACCATAGGATTGTCAACTGTCACTACGTGTCCAGAGTTTCCAAAGCGATGGCAGTGCCGGCGGCGCCAGTCGTTGCCGATGCGGTCCAAGAGTTTAGGCAATTGTGCGCCGATATTATGGCCCGACTCGAGACGTGCGGTGCGATCGCCACCAAAAAGCGTATGATTTCAGACAAACTCTTGGAGTGCGAGACTATTGTCAACACAAATGCCAACCGATTGGACAAACAGAAACTGGATTTATTGAGGTTAATAGATGTGTTTAATTTGAGAGACAAACTGATCATCAGCTAAATTGGTTTACATGTTTGGTGTTTAGTATTTATCAGGTTTGTTGAGTTTAGATATAAAACTAATATAAATTGTATGTATTTAATTGTTTTTCTGTGTTTTTCATTACAGATCCCAAACTAATTTGAATTTTATGCCTTATTTCTTGGATTCGCAAACATTATTGTAGTTATTTTCAACAAACAAATTGTTTTTATTTGTATATCAATTTCATTTAACTTAATTATAATTAGTAAAATGCTGAACAATTGACAGTCAATGATTTAAATGATAGTTAAATTTAAATACAAAATTTAATTACAGATAAAATTTACTTAATTGCAATTTATTAATAAATGATGATTGTATTTGAAAAAGTTTATAATAATAAAATTCTACTATTTTGTAATTAATGCACCTAAACAAACTAACCATGCACTTATAATGATTAAGCTTGTCTAGGCTTAATCATTATAAGTGCATGGTTAGTTTGTCTAGGTTTGGGCCCAAATAGATAACAAATAAAATAGTTATGAATGCACTTCATAAATGTTTTTATATTTTTATTATTGAGAGGGATATATCTAATATACATTGTTGTATTAGTTTTTTATGAAATGTTAAAATAATAATTACTAAATCAGAAAATAGCTGTTAATTGTGATACTTAAAAAATTAATGTTGTTTAATAATAATTCTAAAAAATAACGTTTTGATTTGATTGTGTGTTGAGAGCGGAAGCGATTGAGTTGTTTGATCGCAGAGACCAATACACTGTCGACACATCGGACAACACAATTGATTGACATTGCTTAATTAAAATTTTATACTGTATTTTATAAACCAATTTAAAATGAAATAAGTCCTTGTAATAGCTGTAGTACAAATAATGTAATGTTAAAAGTGATATTAATAACATTTATATTCTAATAATTGTCAAAATTATATTAAAGAATAGATAAAATTTTAATATAGTAAATGATGACAACTGTAGATGGAGAGTAGTTTGGTGATAATGACGATAATTTAGTTACTTCTACATTATGTTGTATCTATGGTTTACAATATCGCTGTAACAGTATATTCAGTGAATATTATTCATTAAGTACTATTAAGTAAACAGAAAGTAAATGAAACATATATTTGTGCAATTTATAGTGTATTTTGTTAATTAGTTTTTAATTAATTCATTTATATTGGAATATACAGTCAGAACTCTATGCTGTGAATAGATCGGGTCCAGGACTTTTAGTTCATAACAAAGAGTTGTTCACAACATGGAGGTTGTTTTAACATTAAGTCTATGTGGTGTATGTTTTGGTTTATAGATCATAACATAGAGTAGTTCACAGCATATAAGGTTCACAGCATAGAGTTCCCACTGTAATTACAAAATTTTGGAGTAAGTAAAGTTTTAGAATTTAATTGTTATATTTATTGAACGTATTTCCAAATAATAATAATATATTATATAATTAATTCAAGTGTGTAGGAAATGTTAGTAATTAAGATATGACAACTTGTTTAGGTTTCATAATGAAACTTAAACTTGAACTATGAAACTTTAATCAACCAAACTTCAAATATAGTAAATGTAGATTTATTTGTAATTATTAAATTATATGCAAATGTTTAAATTAAAATTAATATTGAGCATTTATTGAGCATTGCAAAATAATATTTTATTTAAAAATAAATTATTTTTTGTAGATATGATTATTTTAATAACAAACTCGATATACTGATCATTTGTTAAACATAATTTACATATATTCAGAATGTATAATGTAAATATTATAATAAATATTAATGATAACGTTAGACAATTTTAAGTCTATCACTAATATACGGTATGTTATATTAATAATATCTTAATAAAATTCGTTGAAAGTTATAATTTGACCATATTTTAATAGAGTTTTTAACTGGAGAGCACCATGATATTATTACATCCCATTTTTATCACTTTAGGGTGGATTTTTTAAATTGCAAAAGCATATAAATTTATTATGTATGGTCAAAGGTTTATTTTATAATTTATAAATTATAAAGTTTGTTTTGTAAATAAGATTAAATAAGTTTAATATTAGATTAAGAAAATTATTAAGTTAGATTATAAAATATGTATTGTACTTAATATGATGTTAAATAAATAAACAATTATTTATTAAATAACTATGTTTATTAAATATCTATTAAATAAAATAATCCATTATAACTTAACCGCGATATTGGGTAATCAAATGGCAGACACACCACCCCTGACCGGTGCCGACACAGACACTGATGGGATCGGCGATAATGCAATTAAAATCCATTTCAATGACTTAAGACTATTGACAACAAAATTTTCAGACAAATATAAAACAAAAGTATCACATCAAATAGACAATGAAGTCATCGACATATTAGGGGCGTTACGTAAGGCACACGAGTCAGCACTCGGTAAATACAGAGCTAAATATTTTCGGGAGATTCGGAAGAAATATCCCAAATGTGTGCCCAATTCGGACGAGTTATGGGAATGGATGGAAAGGGCGTTGAATGAGGAAAGAATTACGTTTGAATTTGAGTGCAAATATCGGCTAATAATTGGAGAAAATTTAGTGACAGAATTGAGGGAATGTTTCACAAAATTATTACAAAACGGAATCATAGATACGTTTAAGTTTGATAATAGGCAAATATGTCAAGCGCCAATATTTATTCATATTTCAAATAAAGTAACCAAGCTGTTTACTCAAAAATCGAGCCAACTTTACGGCTTACAGTCTCAATATTTGCAATCATTGGTCACTTTTATTGATTATCAAAAAGTGATTTACACTAACTTTGACTCAAAGTATAGCGAGTTTGTGAACAAATGTCAACAACTCTGCGAATCGGACGAGTATTTCATAGACGAGACACAATTGAAACACTTTTTACTGACGGATGATAAGATTAATGAATTGTTTAAAAATGATTACTATTTATGCAAAAAATACAATGAATTGACAGAAAGTGTTATAAATAACTACAAGAAAAGAATATCAAAAATTAATGCACAAAACAAAGAAAAATTTGAAAATTGTCTAATAATGTGTAAAAAATTATACAATAGAAAAATGAATGGTTTATTAAAAAGCGGGACATTTACTGACGAAACTTTCCGACAAAAATATAACACAATTTGCAATACTATTTGGACGCGCGTTGCGGACACACTGTTATTAAGACTCTGCAAACCTAATGTACTAAATGTTTGTAAACAAGGTTTTCACGACTATTATGAAACCGATTACCCGAAACAGCTAAATGCAAATTCAGATAATCATCGCCTTATCAAACATAAAATGGATAATATCTTAACTAAATGTCATCATAAATATCGTGACCATTTACACGCCAAACTACCTAAATGTATTTATATTGAGAGGGATCAATTTGAACATGAGCATCAACAACTTTTGGACCAATTATGGTCAAAACAGGAGCAGCAAGTGATGGCCTATTGGGCACAGTTTGCGGAGAAATATTCGATGGAAATATGCGCTAAGAATCGGGAATATATTGCACTGAATGTCAATCACTTAAAAGAAAAATTTTGGGCAATGAATGAGAGAAAACAAAACAAATCGCATTCACTTATTATGGACTTTATAAGCAAACCAGTGGCTGTTTATTATAGATATTATGACAAACACAATGATACAATTCAATTACTACATGATGGTAATGGGAATTGGGAACAAAATTGCTTCCTATTTAACGGCCATAATATACTATTCAAGAGAGAAGCCGAACACCTGAATAGACCCAAGTATTACATCAGAGACATTATGGGAAGGGATGTGACGGACGATGAGCTCAATCGCTATCCCTTAGATTTTGTGGATAAAATACACCCAAAAGTACGGTTCGTATTCAACAATGAAATCTCTCTCGACTTATCTATCGAGTCGTTGTCTGCGTTACAACTCTTGGACACGAAGAGAAGGGCTGAAGAGGAATATGAAAACTACATGAAAAACACGGCGTTTATCGTGCCCACAAATTACACCATAAGGCAATTGAACGCGTTTAGCAACATGGCCATAATAGATCGTGTTGACCATGTTTAATTTGTCACCGACCTGTCATTGGTGGCCATTGATTTTGGTTTCAATCCTAAAGACAATCGGAGAAACACTGCATTCCCGGACGTATAATTGATGTCATGATATCTACACTAAATTATTGTCAGATAATTATCTGTAAATCACAATAACCAAATAATCACTTTAAACATGTTAAGTCATAAAAGGGTGAAACTGTTGTTCAAACAAAATTCTAGGAATTGAATTGAAAATGTACTAAAATGTAAACTAAAATATTAAACTAATTGATACTAATATTGGGTACATTATAAGTTTATTCCTCTAAGTCTTGGATTTGATTCGATGAGTCACTTTCCTCACATATTTCAAAAAATGGTTCGGTTTGATTTGACTTGTTTATATTAGGATGTGGATTCCACCACCAACCCAAGTAATATCCTTTGTTATTGTTAAAATTCATGTACACTTCGTCTTCCAAATAGCACCTGGTCAAAACGTAGAAGCCATACGGTCTGGTCTGGTGATCATCAGGGTCACAATAGTCATCATTGTTGTAGACTAAACGAACTTGATACTCCACAGACCCATTAGGATATTGTTCGAGAAAGTCACGCAATGGTTGTACGACATAATGATTAATAGACCTATTTACGGATGGATTTTGTGGAAATAAGTTGTATTCTAAATGACCACCTAGTACGTTTGGCAAGATATGTCCCGCATCATCACTGTTGCCTAGAAGCATTAATCATAATAACAGTTACAAGTTTGCAACAAAAGTGAGGAAATATTTCTGTGATAAATGATCTAGGAAATTGTAAGTATTGTATAGTGATTTATGTTAATTTAACTATAACAGATGATAGTATATCTCAAAGACTCGTGTTCTGATATCCTACATAATTAATTCCAAATAATTAACAAACAAATACTGGTAGAATGATTTAAAGTTACCTTCAATACTGTTAATTCCCGTCTCTCTGATGGTATCTTTATAATGTTCAGTTACGCCTGTTCCGGTTCTTAAATCGTCCTTGGTAATTATAGACCGAGAATAATGTACAATTTTGTTTCCATCAATTGTCTCATATGACACTTCTCTGATCGGACCATGAGCAGATAGATTAACTGTTTTCACCCCCCGTTTGGGCAAATTCTTATCGAGCTTGGCTTTAGTCTTATCATGGTCACTCAATACATCTTCGTCATCAGGTTTGTTTCCTGCGCATTCCGGGCGACTCCACTCGGGTGGATCGTTAGGATCTTTGCCATCACTTGCAGTTTGAACTTCATCTTGCTTTGGTTTTTCTATCAATTCCACTCTTACCATTGTATCATTTTGCTTCCATGTATCGTTTTGACCATCTCCTTCTAACCGTCTTAGTATTATACGCCGCTTGGCTAAGCAAATTTTGAGTGATTGAAATGGTAAATATTCTATGTATTATCTGAGCTGACATAAAATTTACTAACCATCATTATAATAACCACCATATTTATCAGCCTCTTTGCCAGTAATGGTCGTACCAACCGCGCTAGCCAATGTAGCCCCTCCCACATTTTTTGCAGCCGCAAATACCGCGGCTGTGGCCGCAGTTTTAACTGATGTGCTGGCGATGGCTGCCGTACCCACGCTTAATACAGTAAGCGTGTCCATACTAACACCCACAGTAGTCTCGCTTAATTTCCACAACGCTTTCTTAACATTGCTTTCATATATCGTTTCCACCGTTTTGTACAAACTAACAGCTGTACCAGAGATTTCAAAAAATAGTTTGGTTTGATTTGATTTAATTTTATTAGGATGCGGATTCCACCCCCAACACAAGTAATATCCGTTGCCATGGTTAAAATCCATGTAAACCTCGCCGTTCAAATAGCACCTTGTCAAAACGTAGAAGCCATATGGTCTAGTCTGACCAGGGTTGTAAATTAGACGAACTTGGTAATCGACATATACATTAGAATTTTTTTCATGAAAATCAACCAATGGTTTTACGACATCATGATGGAAGTGCCCCTTATTGGCGGCCAGGGTCTGTGGAAATAAATTGTATTCTAAACAACCACCTAGCTCTTTTGGCAACATTTGTCTCGCATCATCACTTTTACCTAGAAGCATTCATCATAATAACAGTTACAAGTTTGTAACAAAAGTGAAACAAGGATCACACAGCGATGCTATACGTTAACCACAATTCGGGAAATGCATCAAAGATTTTAATATTTTCAATATCATTGTTAGAATACTTTCACTATTATTCTTTTGAGAATTTTAAATGTTTTTGACAACAATTAGTTCAATTTATTATGGCAGATTTATTTATAATCTCATTGTCCCATTGATATACAATTACACATGTTATCCCTATGCCATAGACTTAGCATTACCCATGTTAACCCTATGCCATAGACTTAGCATTACCCATGTTATTCCTATGCCATAGACTTAGCATTACCCATGTTAAAGTATAGCTATAGACTTATGCTGTAATCACATGTTAATTCCCCATAGACTCAATAATCCCATGTTAAAGTATAGCCATAGACTTAAACTGGAATCCCATGTTAAATCACATAGAGCGGGGGGCTGGGGGAGGGGGGGCCGAACGATCCTATAAACCACATTATTCATACTGAATTGTGGTTAAAATTATTTTATTAATTCAACTAGTTGATCTAAGAAATGGTGAATATTATATAAAGTACTGTTTTATGTTAATTTAATTATAATATATGATAGTATATCACAAAGACTCGTGCTCTGATATCCTACATAATTCCAAATAATTAACAAATAACATACTGGTAGAATGCCATTAAGTTACCTTTAGTACTTATTCCTATTTCTTTGATGTATTTTTGATCATCATCAGTCACGTCTATTCCTTTGCTCAAATCGTCCTTGGTGACTATGGACCGAGAATAATGCACGATTTTATATCCATCAATTGTCTCATATGACACTTCTCTGTTGGGACTATGAATTAATATCCTAACTGTTTTCACCCCTTTAGGCAAATTCTTGTTGAGCTTGGCTTTGGTCTTATCATGGTCAGTCAATACATCATCGTCATCAGGTTTGTCGCCTTCGCATTGCGGGTTACTCGTTCGTACTAGATCCTTTACCATCCATGTTTTTCTTTGAGCATCTATCGCCGCTTGTCTTATTATTCTACCACTCTGTGCTAATCGTATTTTGAGTGATTGAAATTGTAAATACTTTATGTATTATGTAAGCTGACATAAAATTTACTGACCAACATTTAAATCACCACCACTACCATTACATTTGTCAGCTTCTTTGCCAGCAACTGCAATCACCCCTTCGGGCATATACTTGTTAAGCTTGGATTTCATCTTATCATGGTCAATCAATACATCGTCGTAATTAAGTGTGTCGCCTTCGCATTCCGGGCGACTCCACTTGAGTGGTTCGTCGTCAGGATCTTGGTCACCATTTCCAGTTTTAACTTCATCTTGTTCCTTTTGCTTCCGTGTTTTAATTTCGTTTCTCACAGGGGGTAAATGTATGTGAATGTGGGTAAACTGCAATGTATTGTCTATGGGAGCATAGAGACTACGCATAAGTTGAGAGAAGTCCTGGTATTGAGCATCGCTCGCTGTCCGTCTTATTTTTCTACTACCCTCGGCTAAGCGAATTTTGAGTGATTGAAATAGTAAATACTCTATGTATTGTCAGAGCTGACATAAAATTTACTGACCACGATTAAAATAACCACTATAACTGCCATCACATTTGTCAGCCTCCTTGCCAGTAATGGTCGTACTAATCGCGCGAATCACTGTGGTTTCGGTCACAATTATTACAGCCTCAGCTACTGCTATTTTGGCCGCAATTTTAGTTGATGTACTGGCAATGGCTGCCGTACCAACACTTGCTATAGTGAGCGTATCCATAACCCCACCGACAGCAGTCTCGCCCAATTTCCACAACGCTCTCTTACCATTTCCTTCACATATTGCTTCTACAGTTTCGTATCCACTAATAGCTGTACCAACTAAGGGTAAACATTTAATCCAATCTACCTAGCTCATTCAATCAATTTTTAATTACTTATAAAACACACCATTGATTCTACAGCATAATACTTACCATTTTATAAATTTACCAAATTGTTGAATATTTTAAACTGAATATGTTTTTCTAATATAAACGCAAATAAAATATAACCATTATATTAAATATTATGATCACTAATTGCTTGTTTACAGAGCAATTGCGTCAGTTATGGTAGTTATAATCATAATATGTTAAATTGACGTAACTAATATAAGCATAGTTGTGCAAAACAGACGCCAGTTTTTAATATCACATTCGAAGGTTGCATTCACTACAGTATGTACTGCATATAAGCAACACATGTAAGTCAGGTATTATAGTTTCTTTAATATATTATTATAATATCTTTAGCAACACTTTATATTTTTTAATTTTAAATATAACTTTTTAATGAAATTTATAACTAATTGTTTATTAATCCATTATTTAACTTACAATTTATAATTTAATTTATAATTATAATTTTCATAATCTATTAAAAAAAATTTATAAAACAGGTTAATATCGCTTATAATGAGTTTATTTGTTAGCTTGTTATATTTTTACATAATTATTCATTAATCAAAAATTATTTATAGTAATATGTATTAAGAATACCACCTTGGACACACCATATATATCATATTATGTAAACTAATTTATGCTATTATATGAGAAATTATTTTCTTTTTCATGTTTGATAAGATTACACTATGTTATGACTATATTGTAAAAGCAATACTAAATTATGTTAATGCTGTGAATAATAGTTAAATAAACACAAAATACATTTAACAACAAAATAAGTATTATATTTCATATATTTCATTGAATTTATTAAAAAAATTATCAGTAATTTCTGGCAAACAGTGAAACCGTTTAATGAATCATAAGCTTAATAATAAATAAATTACAAAAATAGAAATCTATTTTAAAAGTTATTTCGTTAAATAATAATAATAATTATTATCACAATTTATAAATAAATAAAATGGACCATGAAGAGGTTAATAAGAACCTGCGGCAGACAGATTGTACCACGGACAACATTACTGATACAAAATGCGATCATGTGCTCAGTAAATGCAACAGTTTGACCAACAATGAACCAGATCTGTTCGTCACTCCACACAATCAAATAGTAAATTACCTTTAAGTTGTAAATTATCTAAAATAACTTTTATTAATAAACATAAAATTCTAATTAAAAATAGTCTTTAAATCAATTGGAAACCGAAAATAATGTTAATACAAGTGACATAAGTTCAGTAACACCGTATCTGACCGCCCGATACGAGACCATTACCACCTCGCTCAAAACTCAATATAAACAAGTTTGTTTTTATTTATGATAATATGATTATAAGTTATAACAATATACTGTGCTACTATTTTTAAAACTATTTAAACTGCAGAAAATGAACGAGCTGTTCGCTGACCATGGCAAATTCTACGAACACGATCACCTGGACACATTGAACGACACTATAATCTACTCGTTAGTCAATGACTTAACTGAGACAGATGTGGGCTCAAATGTCGTGCCCATTGAGCCCTACAAACAGTCGTTGTACGCATACGTGAGGGACAAGTATCGGGGCTATAGTGAGATCAATCGTTTGCTGTGGATCACAACCATATTGAATAATTTGGACAAACAATACGAGCACGAGTTGAACGCCTGGATAGAGTCCGTGGCAACCGATGCCGACGACGAGCACAGGTATGTGGACGAGAGTCTACTCATCCGCACCCGTATTGTGTCGGAAAATAGCCTCATTTACAGCGAGCGTCTGGACCTCCAGGCGCTGAACGCCCGGTTTGACGTCACCCACGATCGCATACGCCGAGCGCTCGCCGACTCAAAGTACGGCCGGTACCGGGCTATCGATACTATTGTCGAGCGGGCCGAAAAGTTGTATCAGCGCGAGATGGACAGGGACCCCGAATACTGGCCGGGCATACGGCCCGACCGGTTGGACGAGATTAATGATGAGCTAATGATGGATGCGGTGACCCGGTTCAGTACCGACCATAGTCATATGTCTTTGGACACATACACCAAGTTTGTTCAAAATAAATTACGCCTGGCCTACAATACTATAATGAGCGCACCCACCGGTCCGGCTGTTGACCTTCATGTGAAAAGTGCAAACAGTAAACAAATAATTATTCAATTTATAATATTATATTTAAATTATATTCAACAAAAATTCACTTTATATTTATGTTAATTTAAAGTAATATTTACCTTGTCATAAAACTAAAAAGAACTATTTAGGTATAATTATTTAATATAGTTTTATTGATTAATTACAGTATATATGGCGGAAAGATCAATCGAGTTAACCACAAAAAAATATAGGGAAATATTTGACCTGGTATTGAAATTAAAATATTACACGCCCTCCGATTTGAAGTGCATTCACTCCATATTAAAGTTTGAATGCATTACAACTCTAAGAATATCGCTCCAATCAACTGACACTCTAAATGAGCTTGAACAATTTTGTATTATTGACTGCCAAGGGCAATTAAATAAAATTTATCGACAAATTCACATCGATTACATGGAAACAACTTTTGGCTCAAACTGTAATATTGAGGCAGATATTGCCGATAATTGGTTATACAGTCTCCCAAATGTCGGGTCGACTGCGGGCGACGGTATTGGCAGCGATGAAACATCCGTTGCGATTGATGAGGCGGCTGTCCGTGAGTTTCGCCAATTGGTGGCCGATATCGGGCGCCGACTCACAGACTGTCAGACAATTGCAACCAAAAAGCGTATACTTTATGCTAAACTCAAGGATTGCGACCAAATTGTGGCCACAGATGGACACCGAGTAGACGAACAGCGGTTGGAATTGCTTACAATAATCGACACGTTTAGGTTGAGAGACAAATTAATCATTAAATAATTTTGTTTTGACAATGATTAAAATATATCAGTATACACACATCAGTTGTAATATTCAATTAGCTATTTTTAACCAAGATTTACCTCTGTATTTATGAATAATGTGGTTTAAAGGATCGTTCAGCTACGCCCTATCCCCAAAAAATAAAATTAAATAACACATGATTGTTTTAACTTGAAATAATATTAAAACTTTTATAATTACGGTAAATCATTGTCATTTTAAAATTCAAGTATAAATGATATTTTGAAAATTATTGTATTTATTAAAATTTTCATAATTTATTATTATTGATAACTTTTTAATTACAAGTCAACTCGGTTAATCAAATTTATTTTGTAAAAATTTTTGTTACAAATTGCATTTAATTTAGAATTCCTTTTTAACATATTTTTAATATTTAATAATCAAGATTTAAAAAAAATTCTCTCTCTCTCTCTCTCTCTCTCTCCATGTATTTTAAATTATAGATAAATAAATTTTTATAACAATTAAAAATATTTGTTATGCACATAGAAACATAATAATAACATTTAAACATTCTTATCATATTAAAATTACAATTTTATTAAATTGACGATAATTAAAATTATCAAAGTTTGTAAACCGTATAGTAACTTGCTCAAACTGTAGATGGAGGGTAATACCATTATGATAACTACCAATAAAATACTACGTCCTTATGTAATACTATGTACAACATAATTTGCACCCTGACCATTTTTATAAATATTACAATGTAATACTGTATAACAAATACGATTATATTATATAATTTATATAATATCTTTATACTCACTGTCAATGCCATTATGTCAACAGTAAATAAACAAAAAGCTATATTCATAAATATTTTGCACAATTTATAACATATTTTGGAAATAAATTTTTAATTAATTTAATAATTAACAATTTTATATTTTCGACAATACAAAACTCCTTGGGTATGTAGACTAATTGGATTACATTGTAATATTTATAAAAATGGTCAGGGTGCAAATTATTTTGTTAATATTAAATTGTTTATCAGACATTAAATAAAGTAAAAATAAATTTATTTTGGTTTTAACTTATATAAATTATATTTAAATATTTAATTATTTATAAAATTAAAAAATAATATTGAACATTAAAAGTATATATTGTTTAAAGGTTTTAAATGCATTACATTATAGATATGATTATTTTAATAACAAAGTCCGTATTTTATAAATATTATGATAAAAACAAAATAACATATAATTAAAATTGTAGATACTACTTCGAATAGTCTCATTTTTTAATCCCTTGATTACATTTCATTTAGAGTGACATTAAAAACACATTCATATAAATAGCGACCAAAATAACGGCCGAAGAGATGGTAAAAGTGGATCAGGTTTTAGTCCTCGACCCCAAACAGGAGCTCCATTTCAAAGGTGTAAACCATTGAATGAATTTCATTTCATTTATGAGTCGTGTGTTTTGTCGTTATCAACGAATTGACGTTTAATTGAATGTTTTAATTGTAAAGTTATGTATGTTTTTGTGTGTTGTTTTGCGGCGACGATTAGGTCCGTTCACGGATGTGGTCACGGCTTACTTGAAGCTGACGAACCCGTCTGACCGTTGGGTGTGTTTCAACGTGAAGACAACTGCGTGGAAGCGGTACTGCGTCCGACCCAACAAAGGCCTTATCGAGCCGTCGGGCGACACAACGATCGCCGTTATGTTACAACCCGTAGACGCAGACAAATTGAACGACAAATACAAACACAAGTTTATGATTCAGACAGTGTTTGCGGCCGACGGCGACGTCAATCAGAGCGCATTAGTGAGCACTCAATACAAACGCTCATTAATTAATAGCTTTTTTTGTTTTATTGCGTAATTTTTAGTGGAAAGAAGCGAATCCGGAGACGATTATGGAGTCGAAGTTAAAGTGTGTGTTTCACGTAACGGGTGTTGACTCGACTGTGGCCATCAACTCTACGGCGCCGACCAATTCGCACCATAACAGTAATAATGCGGTAACATTTGAGACCATTCTTCTGGCCATTGCTTGCATTTGTGTCATGATTTCGAGACTTGTTTAGATGTTTAGTCATTTAACTTATTAATTTAGTGAATGGGCTTTAATTTTCATTTTTATAAACTACACATACATACACCTCACACGGCAACCCATTAAAATTTAATAATTGAACATTAATTACATAAATAATTAATTAATAGATAGAGATTTGACATTTGTTTAATAATCCCATCTGTGTTTAAGGTATGTGGGTTATCCGTGAACTTCCCTGTATTATTAAAGTCGGTTGGTTTATATGTCTAAAACATGATTGCATTGAATGAATTCAAATGTTAATAATGTGATGATTGACCGCATTTTGTATAGAGAATTGCTGAGGAAGTGGTGATCGAATCGGTGAACGATGTGAAGAAAATAATGGACGAGAATAAGCGGTTACGGCAAGAGTTGGTATCGATTCGGGCCGAGAATTTGCAGCTAAAAGAAGATAGACTGAAGCATAGGGTGGGCACCCCTATCATACAGTACCACATGAATCATATACTACGCGAGCTTGGTGCTTTTACATTGCACGATAATCCAACTAATATAGTAACTCAGCCATCAGTTCCCATACAACCGATCGAAGGCAGTGCTGCCGACGACGAGAAAAGCTTTGAGACACCGGTAGACATACACGAGGAGTCTGTCCGTGAGTTTCGCAAATTGGTGGCCGATATCGGGCGCCGACTCACAGACTGTCAGACAATTGCAACCAAAAAGCATAAACTTTGGGCAAAACTCGGGGAATGCGAACAAATTGTGGCCACAGATGGACAACGAGTAGACGTACAGCGGACAGAATTGCTTAATATGATTGATAAGTTTAAATTGCGAGATCAACTATTAAATGAATAATATGTTATGGATCAGGTTATCCATATAATTTATATTGTCGTAATCTAATTATAAGTTTGTAATTTTGTGTTTAGGTCTGAATCGCTCACTAATTTCATCTAAAAGACGGCCAATTTTACAAACAAATACATCATTAATACTAAAACAAATTAACTAAAATATTTTTAATATAATATTTTCCTTTAAAATTGATTATTATTTAAAGTAATAATTTATTTTCTCGAAGTGGTCGAGTCTAGTGCTTTGGACGGTTATAACAGCGTTGGGACACCGGTTGCACTCGTGAAGTGCATATTAATGAAGGTCGATTTTAAAATAACACAATTATGTTTTTGTATTAACTGTTTTATTATGGTTTAAATAATTTTTCATTTGTTTTATTGATTAATTCTTGAGATAAGTTGTATTGAATCTCAAATTTTTAGCATTTAATTAAAACATGTATGTAATTGTATATGGTTAAAGATTTAAATATGTATTGAAATACAAAAAAGGACTTATTTGTAACAAATATTATTATGCTAATAATTAAATAAATAAATTCAATCATACCAATAATTGCTTGGTAACACTTAATTAAAACAAGTATCAATTATGCTTATACAATACATATTATATTATACAATGTATATTAAGTTGGATAAAGAATGATGATAATGATATTATTTTTATACTGCAATGCATAATTTATACAATAAAAATAGCATTAAAATAAAACATTTGTACATGGCAATAATAAATTGACACACCATTAAGGATGGGGGCAATAATACATATGTATAATACATGTGTATTATTCCATGTATTATTCATGTATTATACATGACAAAATTTGCCATACATACAACATGGCGTCAAATATTGACATTATTTGCTAAAAATAGACAAAATTTGCAAAAACATATGTTATTTTATAAATTAATTTTTAAATTATAAAAAAATAAATCATTTTTAAAAAAAATAATGGTGCAAAAGCAATTATATCTACGAAAATATCCATTCTTTTAGTATAGAGATAAGATCATAGATTAACATTGCCCATAGGTTAGCATTAGCTTCTATTCTTAAGCANTATCTACGAAAATATCCATTCTTTTAGTATAGAGATAAGATCATAGATTAACATTGCCCATAGGTTAGCATTAGCTTCTATTCTTAAGCATTGTATGTAATAATACACGAATAATACATGATATACATGTAATAATACATGAATAATACATGGCAAAAATTTTTTCATGTATTATCCCATCCCTACACACCATATATATTTTGTAAACTAATCCTGCTACAGTATAAATATGAGAAATTATTTCCTTTTTTATGTTTGATAAGATTACAGTATATTATGACTATATTGTAAAAGCAATACTAAATTATGTTAATGCTGTGAATATTAGTTAAATAAATACAAAATACATTTAACAACAACATAAGTACATGTATTATATTTCATTGAAATTATTTTTAAAAATTATCAGTAATTTCTGGCAAACAGTGAAATTGTTGAATAAATCATAAGCTTAATAAATAATTAATAAAAAATAGAAATTTATTTTAAAAGTAAATTTGTTATATAATAATTATAATCACAAATTATAAATAAATAAAATGGATCATGAAGAGTGTAATGAGAACCTGGGTCAGAGGGATTGTACCACGGACAACATTACTCATATCAAATGCGATCATATGCTCAGTGAATGCAACAGTTTGACCAACAATGAACCTGATCTGTTTGCCACTCTACATAATCAAATAGTAAATTATCTTTAAGTTGTAAATTATTTTAAATAACTTTAATTAATAAACATAAAATTTTAACTAAAAATAGCATTTAAATCAATTGGAAACCGAAAATAATGTTAATACAAGTGACACGAGTTCAGTAACGCAGGAGTTAACCGCCGGATACGAGACCATTACCACCTCGCTCAAAACTCAATATAACCAAGTTTGTTTTTAATAAAAATTATAATATGATTATAAGTTATAACAATATACAGTATACTTGTAATACTACTTTAAAAATTATTTAAACTGCAGAAAATGAACGAGCTGTTCGCTGACCATGGCAAATTCTACGAACACGATCACCTGGACACATTGAACGACACTATAATCTACTCGTTAGTCAATGAATTAGCTGAGACAGACGTGGGCTCGGATGCCGTGCCCATTGAGCCCTACAGACAGGCGTTGGACACATACGTGAGGGACAAGTATCGGGGCTATAGTGAGATCAACCGTTTGCTGTGGATTACAACCATATTGAATAATTTGGACAAACAATACGAACACGAGTTGAACGCCTGGATAGAGTCCGTGGGAACCGATGCCGACGACGAGCACCGGTATGTGGACGAGAGTCGACTCATTCGCACCCGTATTGTGTCGGAAAATAGCCTCATTTACGGCGAGCGTTTGGACCTCCAGGCGCTGAACGCCCGGTTTGACGCCACCCACGACCGCATACGCCGAGCGCTCGTCGAGTCACCGTCCGGCCGGCACCGGGCTATCGATACTATTGTCGAGCGGGCCATACAGTTGTATAAGCGAGAGATGGACAGGGATTCCGAATACTGGCCGGGCATACGGCCCGACCGGTTGGACGAGATTAATGATGAGCTAATGATGGAGGCGGTGACCCGGTTCAGTACCGACCATAGTCATATGTCTTTGGACACATACACCGGCTTGGTTCGCAATAAATTACAACTGGCCTACGATACTGTAATGAGCGCCCCCTCCGGTCCGGCTGTTGACCTTCATGTGAAAAGCGCAAACAGTATGTAAATAATTATTCAATTTATATTTACAAAAAAATCCACTTCATGTTCATCACAAACTTATTTAGAAAACATTTACTGTACATATTTAATTAATTGCATTAGCTTAATTTTAAGTATAATTATTAAATATAATATTATTGATTAATTATAGTATATTTGGCGGAAAGAGTAATCGAGTTAACCACGAAGAAATATCGGGAAATATTTGACCTGGTATTGAAATTTAAATATTACACGCCCTCCGATTTGATGTCCATTCACTCCATATTAAAGTTTGAATGCATTACAACTCTAAGAAAATCGTTCCCATCAACTGACAATCTAAATGAGCTTGAACAATTTTGTATTATTGACTGTCAAGGGCAATTAAATATAATTTATAAACAAATTTACATCGATTACATGGAAAGAACTTTTGGCATAAACTTAAACTTTAATATTGAGGCAAATATTGTCGATAATTGGTTACACAGTATCCCAAATGTTGAGTCCGCTTTGGCCGACGGCATAGGCATCGATGAAACACCCGTTACGATCAATGAGGAGTCTGTCCGTGAGTTTCTCCAATTGGTGGCCGATATCGGGCGCCGACTCACAGACTGTCAGACAATTGCAACCAAAAAGCGTATACTTTATGCAAAACTCAAGGATTGCGACCAAATTGTGGCCACAGATGGACACCGAGTAGACGAACAGCGGTTAGAGTTGTTTAAAATGATCGACACTTTTAGGTTGAGAGACAAACTAATCATTGAATAATTGTGTGATGATCATGTCTAAAATATATCAATATAACATTCAATTTGCTATTTTTCGTTTAAATCATCAATTTAATTTTTAAAATAAAATATGATAACACATTAGTGTTTTAAGTTGAAATAATATTAAAACTTTTATTATTACTTTTAGATCATTGTCATTTTAAAATATAAATTTTATTTTAATAATTATTGTTTTTATTAAAATTTTAATTTTAATAATTCATTATTACGGACAACAACTAATTAATTACAATACAACTCAATTAATATAATTAATTTATTTTTTACAAATTTTTACAAATTGTATTGAATTTAAAATTGTTTTTCTCATAGTTATAAAAAATAATTTTAACTTTTAAAAAGTATTTCTCTCTCTCTCTCTCTCTCTCTCTCTCTCTCTCCATGTGTTTTAAATTACGGATAAATAATAAATAAATTTTTATAATAATTCATGGTTAAACACAATAATTTTTAACATTTGAACTTTCTTATTAAAACTAAAGCTTATTAAAACTAAATTATAGCTCGACTGCTTCAGCTCAGTTGGTTTATTTCATGGAAATAGAGCTAAGCATTGCACAGATCGAGTTACGGACTGAGAGAGAGAAATACTTTTTAAAAGTTAAAATTATTTTTTATAACTATGAGAAAAACAATTTTAAAT